GTTGTTGTTGTTGTTGTTGTTGTTGTTGTTGTTGTTGTTGTTGTTGTGTGTTTGTTGTCGAATGGTCTGGTATGTTGTAGAGGATAGCGAGCCATGGGATATCCATGTAGCTACCATTTCAGGTCAACAGAGGATATTGCAGTACCCAAATACTCCATGTATGCCCCATATATCAATCATTGACCCCCAAAACCACCCCAACTGATCGGCAGTCCTACGGCAGTCCCCATTAGTCGTGTCTGGGGTCACCAGCTGTTGCGTGACGTGACCCGAAACCGTCCCTTCGTCCCGACGGGTCACGTCCGCCTTCAGGCCCTGCTTGGCAGAAGCCCTCCTGGGGACCGAAGAGGTGCGACGGGACGAGGGACCTCTGCCTGTTGAGTCCGAACATGGATTGAAGCGATGACGATCTGGAATCGGCTCGAAACGAAAATGGATGTGAATTTCCCAGGTTCTGTTCATTTCTGTTCCTTTGCAAACAATGGATGGCAAACAAGCCTCTGTGTCAAATGGACTCTCGAAAACTGTATACATAAATTCTGGTGGTCAAACTTGGACTGGTCCCGAGAAGTAGTTAGTCAAGACACGTTCACAATGCGAACTACTACAACTAGATTAGCTGGATGGAAGTATCCATTAAATTTGTTATATCCCATGATCAGTAGCAAAGGATGATGATGGCTAGTAAATTCCTTTCTCAAACATAGTGGTACTCTTTTACCGACCCTTGCCGGCATAGCCTGGAGCTGCCAAGCAGCATCCATCCCGGGCTCACTCCCACCAACTGACTCACTCTGCGCGCGCCTCACTTGCACAGCAAAGCCTCCGGCTCACGACCGCACGTGATCCCATAGTCCAAGTGGCTGGTGATCAAAAATCAAAGGCCTCACCATGCCTCCCCAAACTAGTATTCCAACCCACTTGTGTGGGTTTCGGCCACGGTGTTCCTTTCCAAGGTGGTTGTGGGATCGATCAAAAACTCTTCACAGGAAAAATCCCACACGGCTTGAGATGGCGCATACTCCACGATTCACAGTGCTCGACTGCAGGACGTCGTCAAGTGATACAGCATGCATTTGGAGAATTCTGTCGAAATGGCCCCTAATTACAGTTAAATTGACGATTTCTTCTGCGACACAAAACAACCACGGTATGCACCATGTCCAGAAGGGTGCAGAAATCATTCGTGTTTGCTGAGGCCCCGTGCCACGACATGACCTGCACCGAACAATTGCTGGGACATCCAGAAACACATATAGCTCAAAAAATGCACAGGACCACAGAATATTGAACTGTTAACCTTGCGAGATTACATGTTCCAAGTGCTTTTCCTTGACATGTTCCATCTTCTATCCATCTTCTATCCTCTAGCCAGTTAAATAGCAATAAAGACTCCACATGTTAGACATCTGGGAGTCACCAGTTTTCAGCAAGCCTGGAGTCTTGGAAACCTTGGAACTCTTTGGACCCATCCACCCCCCCAACCCCCGAACGGCAGCCTCTGACACCCTCTGACACGGTGGCACGGGCTCGTTTTTTCTAGAAAGGCATTTTGCGGAGTTCTTGATGCAGTTTGTAAAGAAACGTGTGTCTTTCGGTGAATTCCAGTGCTTGTTTTTGGTGGCTGACTGATTCTGAAGATGGATTGATGCCACTCAAAGATACTCAAAGTCCAAAAATACAGCGCTCGGCGCTCGTTGTGGGTTTATCCTCACTGGACACCTGTGCTGGCATTGTGCGGTAGGGATCATACTTATATAATCATACTTCCAACGTAGCGCAACAGACCATTGATACTCTGCATTGGTCTCAGCTCAGTAGCTTCAACTACATCTTCTGCGCGTGGTCTTCTCATAGAACCAAAGGCTGCCAGCGCGGCCAGCGCCCCACGCAGACCCAGTCGCTTGAGGAGTTGTTTGACTGGAAGGTGGGGTACACGCACACAAAGGATTCCATTTAACTGTGTTAATGAAGGGCCCCAAGTAAAGCAGTATAGTAGTATCTTTTGGACCGATACTTGGTGGGGTGATAACCCAATGAGACTGGAAGGGTACTTACTAATGATGGGCGGCCTCCCCAAGATTGGTTAAAAGTCCAGCAAAACGATGGTTTGGTAAATCCTCTTCGAAGGAAATTCTGCCAGTAGAAGTGACAGATTGAGTCCTAAGCAATTTTGTCTACAAAAAACAAAGAACATCCTTGCCTAATAGCGTAATCCAACACCCACCAGAAGCACCTGCGCGAACACACGACCTCGCGCGTCACTTGGTCCGGCTCATCTACAGAAGCACCTCCGGCAGCAAAAGCCTGGCCAAGAGATTCAGAAATCCCAAACATATGGGTTGTGGATTCTGTGCATAATGTGATTGTGTACATGGATGAGTTGAAACGGGCTCAAGGCTGATTTCCATTGATTTCCTGAGGCTCAATCAACACATTGATTGGCTAAACAGAGTGCGGGGCTTCTATACCAGTATGCCATACCAATCCGAGAATTCAGATTAATTCAAGGATTCTGAACAACTAATATCAACTAATGATGGCAAGCACTTGAGTCAACATTTGTCACAGCAGGGATTCTGAACAACTATATAGTGTTGGCAGGACCCCCGCAGTCACTTGAGTCGTATTCGCCGCAAGGTGACGGGCCAAGGTGACGGGTGAAGAGGACAATGAAGAGGACATGACATACTCGATCGGCTGGTAAGAAATCTAAGAGCTTGCAGGGGCAACAACCGTTCAAACACTTCTTCCAATCCTCTTCTTGATTCTTTGGCCGAAGAAGGCTAATGCTTGATCCGTCCAACACCTTCATGGCTGCCCTCTCACTCCACCCATTGATGGTCTTCTGATCGAACAAATACTTTTAGGCAGCCCTGCTCAAAAACATAAGCGTTAAAAAGGTTGCAGTGATGCAAGACACTGACCAAGTATTCAATGTTGCCTGCACCGTCAAATGACTTCCAAAGAAAATCATGAATTATATATATATAGATAGATGTCCACTGTCTATTCATGAATCTTAGATGTTGCATGATTTTGCAGAAGCCACGTACATCAAAAGGGGAAGCAGCCTCCGTCGCCCAAACCAAGAGTCCCGGATGCCGACGCATGCCTTCACGGTGAAGGTCCCTCCGGTCTTGGTGGTAGGGACCGGTTGAACCTGAGGGGAAAAGGGGACGTTAGGTAGGTAGATAGGTAGGTGACTGAGTACAGCAAAATGATGCAAAATGTATCTTATCAAAATAGCTAGACTGTGAACACATGGGTCATCTACTGACAACACTGCCTTTTTCTGCATCATTATATACATCCTTCTGAAGCCTGTGAGTACCCTTGGGCCATCGCAAGGCCCTCGGCACACGGCCATTGAGGCTCCCCACGGTCCCAGCATCAGCGGCACGTCGCAGGGGGGTGTCCTGCGTGCATCATGCGTCGACGTCGTCAGCGATACGTCGCCGGGGCTCGTCCCAGCCGTCCCACCAGCCGTCCCATGGCCGATCAATCACCCCCCCCATATGGAGAGATGTTACTCTCCAAATATGGGGAGAAGTTCTATTCATCAAACAGTCTATGCATCTAGTTGTTTTGGCCCCACACCATTGTCCGACTTCTCAGGACCGAGCCAACAAAACCATACAAAACCCATCTATTTGTGCCCTTCCCCCATGAACTCAATGGCCCAACTCATCTATTCGTGTCTCTAGTGAGGATCACACACACCTTCTCGAAAACATCTGCTGTCTCCCACATGGGTCCTAGTACAAGGCACTGGTCTTTTGTAAGGATGAGAGGTAACTTGACTCCTGCTCTCGAGCGGCAGAGTCCTTGTCTCTTGAATCCTTTTCACATCGCAGAGTCCTCCAGCCATCGCTGTTTTCCGTCCACTCGACCCGTCGATTGCGCTGCGTGAACGGTCAACGTGTCCTCCAGTGGCAATGGGTTCTGGCTGTCCACGATGGGGTCCACCTTTCAACGTCAATGCCGAACCCACTCTGCGTAAGGGGTTGGAGGCTCTCTCATAATTCTCATATGCACGAGCACTCAAGCAAAACGCAAAAATTAAGAGTCTGACCAAAGGGTTTTAGGTTCTAGTTGCCCTTTAGCAATGGTTTCTGAGGTCTACTGTCTTCAATCACACCCGTTTTGTGTTCAGCCCTGTCGATGTGCTCAGATGCCTCTTGATTTGCGCCAAGACTTGGAACATTGAAAACCCATCCACATCCCCTGGCTCACAAGCTCCGTATGCGTGACTGGAGATGAATCAGTCCACGTCCACGTCTCCATGTGTGGACCTTCTTCGTCCAGGAACAGAAGGCGCTGCAATGGTAGAGCCTCCAGTCGCGGAACCGCCCGTCGAACGCACCGTCGGACCGGTGGTTTCGACGAGCGGAACATGAGGTGATCGCCCCGGTGAACACACGGGTCCCAACACGTTTGGGTCCCAACGAAGGGTCGTTGGAAGTCGTTCTCGCAAAGGTTACTCTTGAACTCGGTGGAAGCTGAAGAAGAAGCCTCATCAAACACTCGGTGAAAGTTGTCAATATGAATATTTGAATCCAAAAACCATCCCAATACTATCTTCTAATACCCTTTCACATCAACATCCTTCTTTATCGCATGCCTGAAATGTGGAACCAAAGCATTCGACAAGGCCGCGAGAGCACCCATCGCTTCTTGGTGTGCAAATTCTCCAATCGCCAAGGCACTGGTTGCTGAAGCAGGTCCACAGGATGATGAAACCGATGAACAAGTGCAGCAAGAACCCGAACCTCACTAACTTATGGTTCTGGTCAAAAGCACAAAAACGTGCATCTCATCACAGATCGTCACATACCATGACCCTTCTGCTTACAGTACCTGCTGCAGGGTGGTGGTTGTGACCCCAATTCAATAGGCAAGTAATGACACGGTGTAAATTGATAATGTAAATTGGAAACATCACACTGATACAGCAAACTTGTCAAAGGAATCGTCCACGAGTCCTTCTCCCGGACATGTAGTCTGGTACTACAAGGCTAAAATCATCCTGAAGTAGATCAGTAGATAGAAGGTTGGATCATGTCGGAACATCCAAAAACAAGAATGACAGGGAATTGCAATGTGTTTGATGCACTGACAATTCTATCATGAAGCTGTTGACTCGAATTGAGAGTGAGAATGATGCCAAAAGGAGTGTATGCATGTGTATGCAATACATATTATATACAGTAGTACATGCTTGAACAATAAAACCTTTCCAGGGTAGGTTGAGGTCATTTTTATAAAAGTAACTCTCGCTTTAATCCTTGAACAATGGGTTGTGGGTGGTTGTGGTCTATGTTCATTCTTGTTTCTTCTTCCGGTCTTTTCGGGAATCTACCTATTTTCGTACACACCCTGCTTGGATTTGCTGTCCAGTTAGGTTTTAACAAAAATAACAATCTACAAGCATTATCCCCGCCTCCAGCCACACCGCCACACCACACCGTGACTCACCGTGACCGTCTGCACCGAGCCGGCTCGGCCGAGGTCAGCACGTCAGCGCCGCATCCCAGCCGCAGCCAAAAGAGCGCATCTCCACCTGGAGCTCGAGCGGAGTGGAAGGCAGGTCTGATCGGTCCGGATCGCTCGGCGAATCAACCGTCTGGATCAAAGAGATGGATCATGCTTTAGCTGGTGAGTGGAATCAGAATGTGCATGACCAAACTAGATACACTCTGACGTCCTTGGAAGGGCTTTCCACTCTATGTTAGCGAGTAGGTGTGTAAACAAACAGCTTTCTTTTGGATCACAAGTCCCAAATTCCTCTCACAGCTTTTAAAACTGAGAATCTACGGCAATTATGAATGGATCATGTTGCTAATGCTTTAGCCACTAAGTAGCATCTTTAGCACCAATACTTCCTGGCACATCGGCGATCAGCGCAGCTCCAGACCGCCCGGACCTCCCACGTGCTACAGCTCTGCCTCAGGAATCAAGGTCGGGCGGAAATGCAACTGGTTGAGGTGCTCAAGAGCCGAATCTCCCACTACCTAATAGCAATGGGAAGCTTAATTGTAATGGCCTCCAACCTGATAGCGATGGCCTCCAACCTAATATCGATGGCCTCCAACCCACGAGCGATGGCCTCCAACCCAAGAGGTTCTTGAGACTACTTTCTGGGATCAAGGTGTAGGTTCAGGATCGAGGTGCAGGTCCCTAGTGGGTGAGCTCTCAACACCTCAACAAGTGAAGCTGAATGACACTTGTTATGAGGTGATCTGCATTGGCCCTAGTAGGTGATCCCTTCAGCACCCAATGGGCTGAATGACAGTCAATGCAGGGCCAATGCAGGGCCTAGGCATTCAGCCCATTGGGGTGCTGTGGGACGTCCCATCACTTGGCGCTTTGGATTTGATTCATCGATGTCTACCTGGGCTGGGCTGGAGACCTATTCAGTGCAGTGTCTGGCAAACCTGAATCCATTTGGAGACAAGTCTGGGAATGGTACAGTATATGTTTCTCACCAAGCAAACACAAAAAAGCAAACATGTTGCTTACCGAACTTAACAAAGCAAACCCTTTTGCAAATCGACGAAATCAGC